CAAAAATTGATGCACATTTTGCCATAGCTGTTATCCCGTTTTCTAAACCTTTTAGGAAAATCTGTTGAATTACACCTGAGCGGTGTCCTATATAAGTACAAGCGCAAAATTGACCGAATTGAGCACTTTAATAAAGGGTTTTTGCAATAGTAAATTGAAATAGCAAATAAAGTAAATCTAATGAGCTACTCCTATTGGATAACTCATATCATATCAAGGCTTCTTCTTGTGGGGGTGACCCAAAATTAAATTGTGACTTTTACATAAAATCACCCACCCCTCTCCCCCTATAAATAATGAACCCCCCTATAAATAATGAACGGTCCCTTAGGGATTTAGTTTCGAGCAACAGCATATAAGGCTAATATTGAAGGGCTAAAGAGTCATCTCACGAAATTCAAATTTTACACTGGGAGAGTGAACAATTGAAGCCGACGGGTTCCTGGGAGAGATATGTCTTTTCTTATGTCCCAGCCAGCTGTAAAAGATTACAGCTGGTTGCCAGTAAGAAATTCAGGAAAAAAAGAAATTTCAAGTCAAGGAATACTTTCTAAGTAAAAAAGTGGAAAAGTATTGGGAAAACCCATTTTAGTTTTAAAATGAGAATGTCATGGTTTTGGTGAATACGCTGTCATTCTTACTTTAGTTGCCCGAATTGAGATTATTCAAAGGGAGGTTCAACAGAGCTTCGTGATCATCTTCGTGATTATAGTACACCGAATTGTTGCCAGATTTAGTAAATTAAAAGGAATTCAAAATGGTTAAGATACTTGGTTTATATAATACCTCCATCAGTAGTCATGTCACAGTAGACAGTGAAGGGTTTTCCAGTGTTCCCAGGATCAATCCAGTATTCTCCATCTCCACGATATTCACCGAGATCTTTGATTTCCTTGCACGAGTGACCAGGAAAAAGACGGGAACCTTTTTTTGCTAAATGATGTCGGGAAAAAAAACAACATTAAATCAGCCTACTTAGAAACAAGAAACCGACAACTAGATCTGTTTATCAACCATTAAACAACCGAACCAGCAACCCTGCCAGCGTAAATTCTGTACATACTGTCACTATTACAAATCTTCGTTAAAAAAGTTTGGTTTCAGAAACCAATCCGATGTTGATGCAGTATATGCAGTGCCAAGATTCCAAAGTTTAATATATATAAGCCGTTTTTGATCATAAAAACGGTATATAACTCTTTTTCAATTTTCAGACCTTTTAAAAATTATTTTCAAGAGTGAAGGGCGCAACATTTGCTTTTGAGATTGTCGGTAAAAAAATTGTATAAGAAAATACAGTTATTTAGAAAAACAGATCCTGTAGGCTCCTGAAAGTTTCATTGGCGTAATTCCAGGCTAATGAAGTCCGAAACTTGTCAATTTAAAGTTCTTTCCAAGGTGCATGACAGTGGAAAAAGTCCTGCTCTGTAATCTGCGCTATACGTTTAGCGAAGTTTTAATGTTTTGGCAAAAACAGGGATCGACACAGTCTCTACTTTTCAACTTTTATGAATAGTCTCGAATTTGGTTGCAAGTTTTTTCATTAGAAAACATGTTTTTTTTCAATTTGTCGCAATTCTTTTACAGTCATTATTTATTGATTTCCAGAAAAGACAAGAATTGATTTGGATCACGAAAATGTCATGAAGGCAAATAATATTATTTAGTTATCATGGTTTTGGAGCGAAATATCACAGGATTTCTTAAAACAAACAGTTCATTATGTCTACGTGAGGGGGCCGACTAATTAATATCAGCCTAAAAGATATCTTTTTGACACTAGAGGCGCGTCCAGACTATTTAGAGAAAGTGAAGGCGATCCTCCGTGCTAAGTGGAAAATTGAATTAAATTTATGGATTACCGAATTATTCTTCAGTATTTCCTCGAAAACAATGTGTTATTCAAGCATGGATAGTTGGTTGTATTGCTTATTAATCGATGCTTTCTGAAACATTTTATCAACGAAAATGATGCGAGATTACCCTCGTATTATTCGATGCTTTCTGATATCTTATTAACGAAAATGATGCGAGATAATCCTCTGCTTTGGATCGGAGTGGTACTTGTTTATAAAAACTTTGAATATAACGCCATTGCACTAAAAATTTCTATTTCTATTAATAAAAGACAAAATAATATTTGACGCACCTCTTTCAGGATTTTCCATATAAACAGCATGCTCGTTCGCCCTAGCATTCCCAGGTCGGAGCTTTATGGTGTCCTTGTTGAACTGGCAATGAAAATTTGGAACGTAGAAATTGATAGACTGGCAAACACCGTCTTCCATGCAGGATAAAAAGCAAGTACTCAGATTCATGTCTGAAAACGACTTATAAAAAAACCCTTGAAGTTCGATACCAACTTCAGTAGAAGTGAGAAGCGAAAATGGCTGAGATTTCACAAAGAGATAGCAACTGTAGTGAAAAAACGAAAAAAAGACAAAAATTGATGCACAATTTGCCATGATAATTTCGTTCTCTCGTTTAGGAAAATCTGTTGAATTACACCTGAGCGGTGTCCTATATAAGTACAAGCGCAAAATTGACCGAATTGAGCACCCTGGATATAAATGACTGGATAAGTTGTTCTTTCAAATGGTTTAGGGATGAACCTGCCGCGTGACTGGTTAAGTGCGAGACTTGCGAATCATATTTACCTATTTCATTTTTTTTTTTTGGCATGAATTATTAAGCAGAAGTACAAACTTCAAAGAAGCCCTAAATTGACGAAAAGAAAAAGAAAAGCGAGTTTAATTTTCTTCTAATTAATATTTTCTCTTTTATACTCTGTATTTAAACAAAAAAGTTACTTGTTTATATGTTCAAGGAGAAGATGTCTGGTAATGTTTAGGCCATTTTGTAATCACCAATAAATTGTTTACAATAGAGTCCTTTTCACTGAATATTATCCTTCTTGGTCATGGTGATAAATACTAAGTATTCGAAGATTTCTCTATTTCTCATTATTTAGTCCTTCTAGACTCTTAGTCTGTGATGGTAAAATAGCTTGTAGAGTTCAGTTGAGTTAAACGATGCACCCTTACCCTAACAAACGTAATATAACAAAGTTTTAGCAAGCCAGCCCATCAATTTGTAATTACAACTACAAAACTGCTAACGAATTACGTACAAATTGCTGAAGAATCTATCAACTCCTTAATTATTATACTCCTTAATTAATTTCAACAAATTGTTAGATAGTCATAGTCTAACAGTTGCCAAAACAAAAACTACAAAACTGCTAATGAATCACCTACAAATTGTCTAAGAATCTAACACCAACTTGTTTTTTAACGTCAAACATATATATTTACTAGATATACATTACTAAATATTAATTGCTATTTACAATTGAAGAGTGCTTGGCAAAAGGCGAAACACACAAGGAGTTTATTATACTAAATTTATATAGCACTAGCTATTTACAGTAGGAGAGTGGTTATCAATTAATAATTTCAATGTCATGGAAACGCAGTCTTCTGAATGCTGCAGTGCTTCATATTTTCCAAAATTGCATAAAATTGACCAGTTGCATAATAAAATCACATTATAATTATATTTGAGATAGATGTATTTAGTTGCAGTGGAAATTTGGATCTATAAACTCTTTTCTCCGTAACTAGAGAATTTTTGGAAAAAACAATATTGCCCATGCACACTTTTTCTTGATATGAAGTTAGTCCTTGCTGTATTGCCTCCAGCGATTCATCGTTATTTTTTTTATATATCTCAACCCACTTTTGCCAATAGTGTCCTTCACGGTTACCTGCGCCATCTTGAAAGGTAGCCGTGCCTTTGCATCGAAGCGAGACAACCGTTGAGCGTGCAATGATAGAAACCTGTGAAGAATTGTCTGTAGGTGTGAAAGAAGGTTTCTATCATTGCACGCTCAACGGTCGTCTCGCTTCNTCAATACTTTCCTTATTTTGTATCAGTTCATTTAATGATTTTTTGTGTGGGTTGCATCTCTTCCTGAGAGCCACTTACCCCTCCCTGAGGAAAATCCTAGTTCAGCCCCTGAGTTTAATTTACCCAACCAACCAGAACGGGCCTTCAATCTCTTATCCAACGTTCGAATTTTCCAAATATGGTCATAACGTTCRTTTTCGAATTCTTAATGAGCTTTGAATATTCCGACGCTTGGTACTAAAGAAATGTACGGGTGCTAGAMATTTCAAATCCCTTATAGGTTTCTGTTTCCAAAGWAGACAAGCATTGATTTAAATCACGAAAATGTCGATAAAAGTTAAAGGATAATATTTTATCTCTTTATTTTATAACTTAGGAGCGAATCATCACAAATTTCTTATTAAAAAACAGTAAATTAGGAGAAAATTTGTGGTATTTTGCTCCAAAAAAAAAAAAAAAAAAAAAGGAACAGATGAATTAATATCAACCAAAAATATATTTTTTTTGGCACCACAGGAGCGCCCAGACTATTTGTCATCGTTACTTGAAGACAATGTATGCGATCTGCACTGCATGAATGGAAAGTGGAAAATTGTTATTTATTTCGAAGTAATTAAACTCATTTTAATGAATTTTAATTAATTAAAATTAATTAAACTTAATTAAAATTAATTATACTTAATTATTATATAGCGAGAATGTAACCCACGATTTCATTGGCTAAAAAGCGGGCCGTACTTTCGCGTACGGACCAGAAAAAACGAGAAAAACTTTTTAAATCATCAAAAAAGCTCGCTTTCTTTCTTTTTAAGCTGTTTTAATTATCTTTATCTTTAGTTTCTCCTAGTTTCTCAGCCTTTTCTTTTTTCTTTTTATTTTGAATGACGAAAGAAATGTACCAATAAAAACGTATTTTTATGTCCGATTCTCTATTAATTTTAGCTATTTTTCCCTGAAAAAACTACATAATGAAGATAAAATTAACCTCGCTTGGTTGAGCCGTACGGGAAGTTGTGGAACCCGCTTTTTTCCCCACTTTTTTATGGCCCTCGCGCTACGCGCTCTTGCCATAAGTCAGCGGAAAAAATCTCAGTCCATAACCTCTCGTACGGCCTTCGCGCTCGTTTCATAAGATATTCGTATATTGTCGAAAATGTGTTCTTCAAACGTATATATTTGGCTGCAATGCCTTCTTAGCTGTGTGCAACGGACGTATCAGCTTTTGATTATTCGATGATTTCTGATGAATGTATTACCGCGAATGATGTGACATAACTCTAGACTTTGGGGCGAAGTGTTGGTAATTTAAATAAACTCTGAAACGGTAT